GAAGTAGAAGTGTTTTGGGAGCATTTAGCGTCTGACTGCGCCTACGATCTGAGTCCGAGGTTTGAGTCCGAGCGGACCAATTGGGGAAGAGGGGGAGTTGCGTGGGAGGATTGGAGCTCTGTGGGGTCTGCTGTAAGGCTGAGGCACTAGGGGTTGATCTGAGGGGAGTGATTATCGTGGATTGACAGCCGTTGGGTCGTTTCTTCTTTTTTTTAATGACTAGTTTTAACGGATTCATTTCAAGTCAAAGTTTATGCGTATTGTAGAGTACCTATTTTCAATCTGGGAGCGAATGGTTTAATACATCCAATATCCCCATCTGATTGATGCTGACACCCTCTGTAATAATCGTTATCTTGCCATTACCTCTTAACACCAGAAACAATATAGCAATTTATTATCCGTTTCAATGAATGGAACAGCAAGTTCTATCATGAATCACTACAGTATCATCATAGTTATCCGGCTATACCCTTAATCAGCTTCGCCTCATCCTCATAGCTGCTGCGCCCCAATCCATTTAGAACCCCCGATCCCAGCGCCTGTCCAGCAAATAAGCACTGCCGAGGGGCTCTGTAAGCACAGCGTCAAGATCAAGCAAGGATCATCAACACTGCGGGGATGAAGGATTCAGCCTAGGCCCCTACAATTACAGCGGGCACCCAAGCAAATAAAGGCACCACGTTCACCCACGAAGCTCCTTTCATTTCTGGGCTCGGACTCTCGATCTCGGACTCTTACTCAACTGAACATCAGCCCTAAGACAGAATCACGTTACTTGCTGGTGGACCTCATGTATTCGGTTCCGTCACAATCACCGCCCAAGGCTTCGGGCCGTAAGGGTAGTAAGAAGGTCCGCACTGGTTGCATCACCTGCAAGTTCGTAACTCAGACGCTCACGTGTATCACTCACTAACAGTTCTACAGAATTCGCAAAGTAAAATGTGACGGTAACAAACACCACTCCTCTATCAGATCTTCTTCTAACAAACCCACAGAAGGCAAGCCTTATTGTCTACGATGCATCAAAACAGGTCGTCAATGCGATGGCTACCGTCCCTCCCCCAACTCATCCCCAGAGCCTACATCCCTCTCCCCAGCTCCAGGCTTCGACTCACCCCAAGAAGTGCGCGCCTTTGACCATTACCGCCTACGTACTGCAAAGGTTCTCTCAGGGCCTATCGATGCTAATTTCTGGGGCGGCGTAGTTCTCAAGATGAGTTCCACCGAACCAGCTGTTCGACACGCCATCCTCGCTATTAGCAGTCTACACGAGGCTGTTCAGGTCAAGAACAGGAGTCTGAGGGAGATTGACACAAGGTTCGCGTTTAAGGAGTATGGAAATGCGATCACGACGCTGAGGAATTGGGGACAGAGGAGTGAGCCGTCTGTTGTGCCGCTGCTCGTTTGTGTCTTGTTTATTTGTGTTGAGTTCTTGATTGATCGCGATACAGCAGCGCAGATGCATATTTGCCAGGGACGGCAAATTCTTTCTACGCTTGGTGATGGGAGATCACCCGCTATGGAGATGATCAAGCACTCTCTTGTGCCTGTCTATGCGCGCCTCAGTCTCTCGAGCTTTCTCTTCGGCAGTCGACCAGCGCCTATTCCTGCACATCTACGCAGCTGGAGCGACATGCCCGCTGTCTTTGCCACCGTTGAAGAAGCTCGATATGCGCTTTATCTTCTTCTAGATGATGCCCTACAGTTCAGCACAAGCGCTAGAGCTCCGATCTACAACCCGAATGCGGAACCAGAAGAGATCAGAAAGCTTCAGAATGAGCAGCAGCGTCTTCTCTCACAATTGAGTCGCTGGCACGCCGCATTCACCGTCACAACATCAATGAGTCCTCAATCTCCTTCTCTCGAAAACTCACTAAACGTCCTCCGCATTTATCACCAGTCAACTCTTATCTGGGTCTCCACTGCCTTGGATACAGGCGAGGCAAAGCTCGATCAGTTCATACCCAACTTTGCAAACATCATCACTCTCGCGTCAACCATCATCAGTTCTGTCCCCTCCAACGCGAAACTCGAGCCTTTTAGCTTCGAAACGGAGATTATACCGCCTGTGTACTGGACAGCTATCAAATGTCGTCATCCGCTCCTTCGTCGGGCAGCGCTCAAGCTCTTGACGCGGAACCAAATGCGCAATCGCAGGGAGAATCTCTGGCATGCACGTGAAACAGCTGTCATCGCCGCGCGAAGCATTGAGATTGAGGAGTCAGAGTTCGACTACCCTCTCGATCTTGACTTTACAATGGATCCCTTCATCGCTCCAAGTCCCAGCGGTTTGAGCGAAGTATCCGCTGAAGCAAACGCTGCGTTCGACCTCTTTACTTGCGATCCCAAGAAGATCAAAGTCGACATCTCAAAACCTCCCAGCTTACCTCCCCCGCCCCCGTCATTCAGCGATCCAACACCTGAGGAAATCCTCTCTGGTTCACCGTGCAGTTTGGCGTCGAGTCGTTCATCTCCTACCCCTACGCCCGAGCCTGTGTCCCCGATATCAGCAGCGCTTGAGGGTATTCAGCATCTCGATTCTGCAGCGCTCAAATCTGCGAGGCTCGAGTCGCCGTATGGTGTGTCGGAGAGCAGGAGAATTAAGAATGCGCTTATTGGACCGGCGGATGATGGTGGTATTTGGGTTACGTTCTTTAGAGACCCTGAGCCGGGGGAGACGTCGTGGAAGGTTACGAGGGAGTTCTTGAGATGTTGAAGTATTTGATGAGTGGCATGATTGATTTGGATATTGCTGGGCGTGCTGTTATGTGTCATATACCCATGATTTACCTGTTTATTGACTATGTTATTTTATGCGCCACATCATATTTTTTCGAGTTCGACTGTTGACTACTTTATAAAGTACGTTGTGTCGAACTCGCCGTGTATCTTAATTGCGTTCCTCGTACCCAAATGCGAAGGTGATATACTGCTAAAAAGAAAAAAAAGAAAGAAAAAAAAAACCGTTCTTTACTATGTTCAGATTCAATTTATTTTCCTACCTAGTAGTAGTGACATGTCGTCTGTGTACCGTCAAGCTTCATGTTGTATTGAAGCAGCTACCCTAGACGAACAGTCCGTATGGAGGTTGATGTGACATTCACGAACCTCTCTATGGTCTTTCTCTCGGTATGGCAGGGCTTGCGGAAGAAAGTTCCATTGCACGCTGCGCTATAATTAATACTTAGTTGAATTCAAGTCTCATCTTTCACGGTTTAGTTGGCTTCGTGGTGTAAGATACAGTCCTCACGGCTTTTGGTATCTCCATTTGGTTTGGTCAGCCAGAGACGATATCAACACGGAACGACGAATCTTGCGTGAACGCAATCAAACCACAAAGCGTCGTCGTTGATGGGATATCATTAATTTGGGTATCATTATATACTTAAATCCTATTCTCAACCTCTAGCAGTCTCCCGCCTCGCAGACTCTGCCACCAGCTTTCTTCTCTTATTCCTCTCGTCCTGCTCAGCCAATACCCTTGCCGTTAACGACGCCGCAAACTCATTGTTGATGCCACTGATCCTCGCATCATCTGACTTCTTATCCTTCGCGGCTTTGTCCTCTTTCTCCACATCATCGCCCTTGCGCTTCTTCTTCTTTTCCGACTTGTCCTTCTTCAGGGCATGTGTAAACCCTTGGCTCTTGAGGTTCTCGATTCTTTTCTCCAATCGCTCGATATCAGCCTCAGAGTTTGTAAGAAGTGGAATGATGTTGTCTTGCTCGAATTCGGCACCGCACTCTGGACACGCCTTTTCTTGGATCTCTTTCATGGCGATGTCGGCAAAGACATGCCCGCAGGGTACCAAGTAGACAGACTTGACAGCAGGGCCAAGCTCCTTCATGGAGATGGGACACACCCACTTGTCGCCATTTTTGGAGACCTTGAGCTTCGCCACGTCTCGTAGTGACTTGATGCCCAGGCTCGCGGGGGTGACGTCAACTGGTTCATCGGAGGGCATGAGACCTTTGATGATCGCTTCGTAATTGTACAGACGGCCACGCCAATCGGAGATAAGAGTATCAACGTCGAGGAATTCACCGCTGAGAGCGCAGTGCGCCCAGGCGTGAGAGAGTGATTCAAGGGCTGTCGCTTTCAATTCGGATGTTGTGGGAGCGCGTGCCGCATTCTTGACGAGCTCGCGACGCTTCGGGATGGAGCCGCCGTCGTTGCCCATGATTGATGAGTAGAGGATGTCGCGTAATCGAGGAAAATGATGGATCGGGGGGTGATGCCAGCGCAGTTATTCGAGATCCGCAGTGACAGGGATTAACAGCAGGAGGAATAGAGATGGGCGTGGGAGGTGTATGTGGATGAATAAGTTGAGAGTTCTGGAACACTGAGGTGATTCCAAGAATTGAGTCGAGATGGCGCTTATCGATAAGATAAGGACGATGGAAGCTTGATGTAGCGGGACAGTGTGATATTCGGATTGTACGGTACGGTTTGCGATACAGAGCTCGGTACCTTCGTTCCTACAATTACTCATAGAGTCTAGTGACAGATATTGACATCGCTTCATATATCTAATTCATGATGCTTATTTTAAATAATCTTTTCTTAGATTGTCCTTGTAAAGAAGCCACTTGAATATCACTGATGGCTATTGGCACTGTGATGACACCGCAGTAGTGCTCCACCGCTAACCCGCCATTTCCAAACTTGATCCATCTAATGACCTCCGCCCAACCCAAGCTCATCAACCTCCAACTTCAACCTCCCCGGTGCTATGCACCTTTCTTAATACCACCCCGGTCGTTACCCTCGAAGGCGCTCAACTAAACTGGGCGTCTCCCATCAATATTTGTATTTTGGAAACGTCTCGGCCGCATTCACAACGAACAACACGCGCACGCGCTGCCTCGCTCGAAGCTTAATTACGATCTCCCCCTCCATCTCGTACGCTCCTCTACGAAAACGCCCGACTGCGATCGAGCGCTCGATATTCAAGTACATGCAACGTTAATCGCTCTCACACCAGTGCCGCGACGGCATCATGGCGCAAGCACAGCAGGTCGCCCTGGACCGGCTGGACAACATCTCCCGCGCTCTAAAATCAAGGTCGGTTTCACCGTGTGACGGTCGGTAGGGCAAAGGGGTCTAATACTCCCACAGAACGAGCGATGATTTGCGAAAACGATCCGCCGTGCAGCTTCGCGAGCTTGTGGCTGTCTGCCATCGAGACCTAAGCCCCGAGCAATTCCAGGTTTTCTACAACTCAGTCAACAACAGGATCACACAGCTCATTACACATGGAAACGACTCGTCCGAGAGACTCGGAGGCATCTATGCCCTCGATGCGCTCATCGATTTCGATGGCGTCGACGTCGGCGTCAAATACACGCGTTTCACACAAAACCTCAAGACCATTCTTCGAGGCAAAGACATCAACCCTATGCAACCAGCAGCGATCGCGCTGGGAAAATTATGTCGCCCGGGCGGCGCGATGATATCAGAAGTCGTGGACTCAGAGGTTAATACCGCTCTCGAGTGGCTACAGAACGACCGCATCGAGGAACGAAGATATAGCGCTGTTCTTGTTCTCCGCGAATTGGCCCGTAGTGCCCCAACGCTTATGTACCAATATATACCGACAATATTCGACTGGATCTGGGTAGGACTCCGAGATCCTCGACAGCTTATTCGGGCAACATCAGCGGAAACAGTTAGCGCCTGTTTCCGTATCCTTCGTGAACGAGACCAGGACATGAAGCAACTATGGATGGATAAGATCTATAACGAAGCGAGATCCGGTCTTAAGGTGAACACTGTCGAGTCGATTCACGGCTCGTTGCTGGTCTTGAAGGAACTGCTCGAGCAGGGAGCTATGTACATGCAGGAACATTACCAAGAGGCATGCGAAATTGTCTTCAAACACAAGGACCATAGAGACCCGACTATTCGAAAGACCGTCGTTCTTTTAATCCCAGACCTTGCCAGCTACTCGCCAGCTGACTTTGCACACACTTGGCTGCACAAGTTCATGGTATACCTATCCGGCATGCTGAAGAAGGACAAAGAGCGTAACGATGCTTTCCTTGCCATTGGTAACATAGCCAATTCGGTGAAAAGCGCTATTGCTCCGTACCTCGATGGTGTCCTTATTTACGTGCGCGAAGGTCTCAGCCTCCAGTCCCGCAAGAGAGGTTCAGTCGACCCTGTCTTTGACTGCATTAGTCGTCTTGCCGTCGCTGTTGGTCAGACTCTCAGCAAATACATGGAGGCACTCTTGGATCCTATCTTTGCGTGCGATCTCACCCCCAAGCTAACGCAGGCTCTCGTCGACATGGCCTTCTACATCCCTCCCGTCAAGCCGACCATCCAAGAGAGACTACTTGATATGCTCAGCGTAGTTCTCTGCGGCGAACCGTTCAAACCCCTCGGCGCTCCACAACCAAATACTCTTAGCTCAGTGCCGATTATTCCCAAAGACGCAAAAGACCCCCACGCTTATGAGCACCGAAGGGCTGAGGTCAAGTTGGCGCTTAACACTCTCGGTAGCTTCGATTTCTCGGGGCATGTTCTGAACGAGTTTGTCCGAGATGTCGCGATCAAGTACGTTGAAGACGAGGATCCAGAAATCCGTGAGGCAGCAGCCTTGACATGCTGTCAATTATACGTTCGCGATCCGATTGTCAACCAGACGAGCTACCATGCGCTTCAGGTTGTGGGTGATGTGATCGAGAAACTACTCACAGTCGGAGTCTCGGACCCTGAACCGAATATCAGGCGGACAGTTCTGGCGGCTCTCGACGAACGATTTGACAGACACTTGGCCAAGGCCGAAAACATTCGCATCCTATTCTTTGCGCTCAACGACGAGGTTTTCTCGATCAGAGAAGTTGCCATCTCTATCATCGGCCGCTTGGCTAGATACAACCCAGCATATGTCATTCCTTCGCTACGAAAGACTCTCATTCAGATGCTTACTGAGCTCGAGTTTTCCGATGTCGCCAGGAACAAGGAGGAGAGCGCAAAGCTGTTGAGCCTCTTGGTTCAAAATGCGCAATCTCTCATCAAGCCCTATGTTGAGCCCATGATCTCAGTACTTCTTCCCAAAGCCAAGGACAGCAACCCTTCTGTTGCTGCTACCATCCTTAAGGCCATTGGTGAGCTTGCGACCGTGGGCGGTGAGGATATGATGCCGTACAAGGACCGACTGATGCCAATTATTCTTGATGCGCTACAGGATCAGAGCTCCAACGCAAAACGAGGTGCCGCTCTACATGCTCTAGGACAGCTTGCGAGCAATTCAGGATACGTTATTCTGCCATACATCGAATACCCACAGCTGCTCGAGATCCTGCAGAGCATCATCCGAACCGAAGGGCAACAAGTACCCCTGCGACAGGAGACGATCAAACTGATGGGTATTCTTGGCGCTCTGGATCCTTACAAACATCAGGTAAATCTGGCGAAATGGCGAAAATTGATGCAACTATTGACACCAGATCAGGCCGAGGAACGAACCCCCGATTCTCGACGCGGCGAGGCCAACCAACTAACAGACATTTCTCTCATGATGACCGGATTGACACCTTCTAACAAAGAGTACTTCCCGACTGTTGTGATTAATGCTCTTCTCGCGATCCTGAAGGACTCTTCGTTGGTCCAGCACCACGCCGCTGTGATTGAAGCGATCATGAACATCTTTCGCACCCTTGGCTTGGATTGTGTGTCCTTCCTTGATAGAATCATACCGGCATTCCTACAAGTGATACGATCTGCGACCTCGACAAGACTCGAGTCTTACTTCAATCAACTGGCCACCCTCGTCAGCATCGTGCGACAACACATAAGGAATTACCTACCGTCAATTGTTGAGATCCTGCAGGAGTACTGGCATACCTCACCTTCACTACAGACTACGATTTTGTCCCTGGTCGAGGCCATCTCGAGATCGCTTGAGGGCGAATTCAAAATTTACCTGGCTGGACTGCTACCACTGATGCTCGGTGTTCTTGACAAGGATACTTCCGCCAAGCGCACTCCATCGGAGAGAGTGATGCACGCCTTCTTGGTGTTTGGTGCCAGTGCTGAGGAGTACATGCATCTCATCATTCCCGTCATCGTCAGGACATTCGAGAAGCAGGGTCAGCCTACGTTCATCAGAAAGCAGGCCATCGACACGATCGGCAAGATCTCTCGCCAAGTGAATCTTAACGACTTCGCTGCGAAGATCATCCACCCACTTACACGCGTCTTGGACATGGGTGAGCCTGTCCTCCGTACCGCTGCGCTAGATACGCTCTGTGCGCTCATCCAACAGCTGGGCAAAGACTATCTACACTTTATGGGTACAGTCAACAAAACCATCAATCAGCACCAGATCCAGCACTCCAATTACGAGCTACTTGTGAGCAAGCTTCAGAAGGGAGAGGTACTGCCACAGGACTTGAGCTCTGGTGTTGACTTTGCTGATGGCGCAGACGAGACTCCTTTTGCGGACCAGGGCACTAAGAAGCTGGAGATGAATGCCATTCATTTGAAGGCTGCTTGGGATACTAAAGGCAAATCCACAAAGGAGGATTGGCAAGAGTGGCTGCGACGCTTCAGTACAACATTGCTTACCGAATCACCGAACCATGCTCTCCGAGCTTGTGCCAGCCTCGCCAGCGTGTATCTACCTCTGGCTCGAGAGCTCTTTAACTCAGCGTTCGTGTCTTGCTGGAGCGAGCTCTATGAACAGTTCCAAGACGAGCTCATCCAGAACATTGAGAGCGCTATAAAATCCGAGAACGTCCCACCTGATCTGCTTGGCCTCCTACTCAACCTCGCCGAGTTTATGGAGCATGACGACAAGGCTTTGCCGATCGACATTCGAGTTCTCGGTAGGGAGGCAGCTCGCTGTCACGCGTACGCAAAGGCTTTGCACTACAAGGAACTCGAGTTCCTGCAAGACCAGAGCAGCGGTGCAGTCGAGGCCCTGATCGTTATCAACAATCAGCTCCAACAGTCCGATGCTGCTATCGGTATTCTCCGCAAAGCTCAACTGTATAAGGAAGGCATACAGCTGCGGGAGACCTGGTTCGAGAAGCTGGAGCGTTGGGAAGAGGCGCTGGCGTTTTATGAAAAGCGTGAGGAGGAGGTGCCTGAGGATCAGGCTATACCCGTTGACATCGTCATGGGTAAGATGCGTTGTCTGCATGCTTTGGGAGAGTGGGAGGCTTTGGCTTCATTGACTGGTAGCACTTGGGCCAACTCTACGCCCGAGGTTCAGAGAATGATTGCTCCTCTTGCCACGGCTGCTGCATGGGGTCTGAATAAGTGGGATTCCATGGACAACTATCTCTCATCGCTCAAGAGATACTCACCCGATCGATCATTCTTCGGTGCGATTTTGGCGCTCCACCGAAATCAGTTCCGCGAGGCGATTGCATGCGTTCAGCAAGCTCGTGAAGGCCTGGATACCGAGTTGAGTGCGTTGGTTAGTGAGTCGTACAACCGGGCATACCAAGTCGTCGTTCGCGTACAGATGCTTGCTGAGCTTGAGGAGCTCATCGTCTACAAGCAATGCGACGAGAAGAAGCAGGCCATAATGCGACGAACCTGGGAGACTCGACTGAAGGGTTGTCAGAGGAACGTCGAGGTTTGGCAGCGCATGCTCAGACTACGGGCCATAGTGATTGCGCCGACGGAGAATATGCACATGTGGATCAAGTTTGCCAACCTTTGCCGCAAGTCTGGACGAATGGGACTGGCCGAGAAGTCGCTTAAACAACTCATTGGAACCGACGCTCCTCTCATATCAGCAATTCCTTATTGGAACGAGCAGCGACAGCCAGCATCCAACCCCAGAGCTGCACCGGCCGCGCAGGTCATCTATGCCGTACTCAAGTACCAGTGGGAGCTTGGACAGCAGCTGCCCGTCAACAAGAAGGGCAGCATACCGGAGAAGACGCTGTACTGCCTGCGCAAGTTTACCAACGATGCTGCGCACCGTCTCGAGGTTGCCAGGGCCCACCTCGCTGCCCAAGCTGGCAACGATGCCAGCATCACTGGCGACTATGGATTCCAGAACCCGATGGATCCTACCCTCATAAGCCCACATACCTCACGAGCGCTGTATGACCAAACAGTCCTCCTTGCCAAGTGCTATCTGCGCCAGGGAGAGTGGCTGATTGCGCTCAACAAGGATGATTGGCAGTACACTCAGGTTCAAGACATTCTTTTGTCTTACTCTCAGGCGACCAAGTACAATCCTCGATGGTACAAGGCCTGGCATGCTTGGGCGCTGGCCAATTTTGAGATTGTGCAGACACTCACAGCCGGAAATGAAGGACACTTGTCGAGGACGGACCAGAGTATGGTGATTGATCACGTGGTTCCCGCTGTCAAGGGCTTCTTCAAATCCATTGCACTTTCACAGGGAAGCTCCCTTCAGGATACTCTTCGATTGTTGACACTCTGGTTCACTCATGGTGGAAGTTCAGATGTCAACGTAGCCGTTACCGAAGGCTTCGCTAATGTCAGCGTGGACACATGGCTCGAAGTCATTCCTCAGCTGATTGCCCGCATCAACCAGCCTAACAAGCGAGTTCAGCAATCGGTGCACAACCTTCTTGCAGATGTCGGACGAGCTCATCCTCAGGCTCTGGTCTACCCTCTCACTGTCGCCATGAAATCTTGGCAGAACACGCGTAGATCTCGTTCTGCAGCTCAAATTATGGATAGCATGAGACAGCACAGCGCAAACCTAGTCGCTCAGGCCGACACGGTCAGTCATGAACTGATTCGTGTCGCCGTCTTGTGGCATGAGCTTTGGCATGAGGGATTGGAGGAAGCTTCGCGATTGTACTTTGGTGATAGCAACATTGAAGGTATGTTTGCAACACTGGCGCCTCTCCACGAACTCCTGGAGCGTGGACCCGAGACTCTGCGCGAGATCTCCTTTGCACAGGCTTTCGGTCGCGATCTTAAGGAGGCGCAAGACTGGTGCCGACAGTACGAGACAAGCCAAGACGTCAACGACCTGAACCAGGCGTGGGATCTGTATTATCAGGTATTCCGCAGAATAAGTAGACAGCTACCGCAGGTGACCACCCTGGAGTTGACGTACTGCTCGCCCAAGCTTCTTAACGCGAAGAACTTGGACCTGGCAGTTCCGGGAACATACAAGAGCGGACAGCCCATCGTGAGGATAATGTCCTTTGACACAACGTTTAGTGTTATCAACTCTAAGCAACGTCCACGAAAGCTCAACGTCAACGGCAGTGACGGCAAGTCGTACGCGTTCCTGCTCAAGGGCCACGAGGATATCCGCCAGGACGAACGAGTTATGCAGCTGTTCGGCCTGTGCAACACGCTCCTCTCCCACGACTCGGAATGCTTCAAGCGCCACCTCAACATTCAGCGCTACCCTGCCATCCCGCTCTCGCAGAATAGCGGTCTGCTCGGGTGGGTTCCCAACAGCGACACCCTGCACGTTCTTATTAGGGAGTATCGTGAGAGTCGCAAGATCCTGCTCAACATTGAACACCGCATCATGCTCCAGATGGCGCCTGACTACGATAACCTCACCTTGATGCAGAAAGTCGAGGTGTTTGGCTATGCGCTCGACAACACCACGGGACAGGACCTGTACCGTGTTCTCTGGCTCAAGTCAAAGTCTTCTGAGGCTTGGCTTGAGAGACGAACCAACTACACTCGTTCTCTCGGTGTCATGTCGATGGTGGGATACATTCTGGGACTGGGTGATCGCCATCCTTCCAACTTGATGCTTGACCGCGTCACTGGAAAGATTATTCACATCGATTTCGGTGATTGTTTCGAGGTGGCGATGAAGAGAGAGAAATACCCGGAGAGGGTTCCCTTCCGACTCACTCGCATGCTGACCTATGCTATGGAAGTTAGCAACATTGAGGGTAGCTTTAGAATCACATGCGAGAACGTGATGAGGGTTCTACGAGACAACAAAGAGAGCGTCATGGCTGTTCTCGAAGCGGTAAGTCAACTCTCCTCCAGATTGACCCATCTAATACTGACTGACATTTACAGTTCATCCACGATCCTCTCCTTACATGGCGTCTCACAAGCGCCGCATCCCCAACAGGCCCCAACTTCAACTCTGACCACGACACAGCCATGCCCGTCCCCGGCGGAGTCCGCGCACGTCGCCAATCCATCCTGGACAGCGACGTCGCGCCCTCCGAACTCCTCAACGCACCCGAGCCATCAATCCAAACACGTGCTCGCGCTCGCACAAACAGCTCAGCGGGTGAAGCCTTGACCAACGGCGGCGCACCAGAGGTGGAGAGCCAGAACGCGAGGGCGGTGGAGGTGTTGGACCGCGTGCAGCAGAAGCTTACGGGTCGGGATTTCAAGAACAATGAGGAGCTGGATGTCATTGCACAGGTCAACAAGTTGATCATGGAAGCTACGAAGCTGGAGAACTTGTGCCAGCACTACATAGGATGGTGCAGCTTCTGGTGAGGTTCTGCAAGCATTGCTAAGATGGAAAGGGGGGTGATGTTATTTGCTTCAAGGTGCGGGAGTTGGGGGGTTGTTGATATCAGGAACGTTTTCTTCATTCTTGGACGTTATAAACATTCTCATGCATGTATAATACGAGTATTGAACCGAGTCGTCTTGTATTTCTATCTTAATCAACATTGTATGTTCCCAACATTCTAAACCCTCTTTGTTTCCTTGTCTATAGCTCATCCCGAGATCTGGGCTTCTTAGGCTGGCTTCCAACATCCCATCTCGAAAAATCACAAGCAGCAGGCGTACCGATCTCCATCCTGTAAACGCACTTCTCGCTCTCACTGACCCTCCACAGCTCCTCCGTCTCCGCACATCCCAGCCACACATCCGTTCTCCTCTGCGGTCCATTCCAGCACTGCTGACCGTCCTCATACCTCAACACCATCCTCTCACCCCTACCCAGACTCTTTCCATCGATCCTATCCTCTTCATCCGCCATCTCTCTATCAATGCGCTTGAAATTGCCCATGTTGCTCTGGCCATGGCCCTTCTTGGACTTTTGCTTCGTGCTGCCCAGCCAGCATTGCTCGTAGGTGTACTCGCCCGCCTCGAGGGTGACGCACTTGTCTTTGAGGGCGCGGAAGATATCGTCGGGTCCGTAGTCGAAGTCGAGATCGGCTTGCTCCACGTCGAGACTGGATTTCTTGTCGGAGAGGTCGCGTTTGGCGGCGTCGACGGCTTCGCGGGCTGTGCGGACGAGGGTGGATTCTTTGCTGGGGGATGAGTTGTCGGCGAGGATGCCGTTGGTGATGGCCCAGACGCGGAGGTTGTCGAGAGAGTTGTGGATGAAGGCTCGGACAGGAGGGGGGAGGTATGCCTCAAAGTTGTAAACTGGTCTGTTAGCAAAGAACACACCATCTTGTGGGAGAGTTGACTTACGGATATCAGTATCACTGCCCTCGTCCTCTTCAAACTCACTCCAGTTTACACCACTGTTCTCCCCATCCTCCTTCAGAACACTCAAAACATCCTCATCGTTCACAACCTCCTCCTTGCTCTCCGCCCGCCGAGCCGAGTAATCCTCAAAAGACCGAATCGCCGCCTTGACACCCTCATCGTTGAAGTTGGGGTTATAGTCGGTCTTGAACTTTGTCAAAAGTTCCTCAAGTTCACCGACTCGCTCCTGGAGAGCATCACGCTGGGTAACGACCCTGTCCAGCGTATCCCTGAGCTCGTTGACGCGTGTCTTTGCAAGACCAACAAGAACACCGAGCTTTCCGCTGCCAGGACCCTCGCGGACAACCTTTCCCTTATCTTGCTGTTCAGCGTCGCGGTGCTTCTGAGCGAGTTCCTCTTTCTTGACTTCCAGCGCGGCAATCTCCTTCTTGAGATCCTCCACCTTCTTCTCAACCTTTTGTCGCAAGTTCTTAGCCTCGCTGACCATAGCACCCCTCTTCATCGCAGCCTTCTGCAAAGCCTTCTTCTTCTCATCCTCCAATCGTCTATACTCCTTTCCGATCTCGGCACATTTGTTCTCACACTTGACACCGCCTACACCACCGTACTCTTCTGACCCATCGCAGCAGAGCTCGTAGTCGCACACGCCGTCGTTGACGTAGAGGAATGGAACGTACATCCCAATGTGACCTTTGTTCTCGCACCAGAAACCGGGCAGGGCATTGGTGGTGTTTGTCGTGCCAGAGATAGAGCCCGCGAGTGGTTGTTCGGGGGAGAGAGGATCGAGGTTGGCGCAGGCAGCGGTGCCTGGTTCGTCTGAGCCATCGGGGCAATCGCACGTGTTATCGTTGACTCGGTCAAGACTCAATTTGATCGCTGCGTTGGTGATGCAAGAGAATTCATCGCCCTGGTAGTGAGAAGCAACTGAACCACCTGTTAGCTCCCCATAGCTTGCTGTATGATCACCGAGATTTCCTACATTCTGGGCCAACACCTCTAGGCACACTGCCAGCAGCAGCCAGGGTAAAGGCGTAAATAGCGCCCAGAAGCGCCAGAGAATTCGGGTGTTGCATTGTTTCTGGTGTTCTTGTGTAATGCTCCTGGAGAGGAATTGGAGGTTGGAGTTGGCCAGGTCAGCTATAACTGCTTTAGGGGACAGGGGAGCATTCCAGAGGGAGGTCTCCACTGTAAAAGCTCCCCTGGGCGGTAAATGTTCGGGAGCATCTGAGACGCGGAAGTAAATCCGTGCCTGGGGGGGAGAAGGGCACTAAAGGTGGGGGAAGAGAAAAAAAGAAGAACTAAACCCCTCCAACGCCAGCACAACTGTGACGCATCATCACCATCTACTCTACAGCTGATCAGAAGCAATATGGCGCCCAACGATGAAGAGTCCCGCAAGGCTCTCGCAACACTCATAGCGACAGCTACAACCCTCCTCGAACAACTCCAATCAACACTCACCACCATCCAACGCAACCCACAAACCCCAACAACACCCTCCTCCTCCGCCGAAACAACCTCCATAAACGCCCTATCCCTCGCCCGCGACACATCCCTCCTCATCCGCGCGCACTCGACAAAAATCTCCCTCCTCATAATAAACGAGCCTTTCACCCCCAGCGCCATCAGCACCGTGGTCCGCGAGCTCATCAAGGGTCCCATCCCTGGCCTCGCCACCGCCGCGCAAGCCTGCACCCCCGATCTCTATACCAGCGTCGTGCGGAAAGAACTAGCGTACCGCTGCCAGAAAGTTCTCGTTGAGCTGTGGGGTTTGTTAAAGCGTGTGCCGGATGATGGGAGGGTTATACCGTCTGTGGAGAGGAGTGGGAGCAAGGGAAGTTTGGTTTTGACGGGAAAGCTTTGGGATGCGTGCGATGAGGTTGTCAAGCTTGCGGATCTGGGGGTTGGTGGGTTTTATGTGAGGAAGGCGGAGGAGTGGAGGGATACGCTCAAGGATGTTATGGAGGAGTTGAAGGAGTGGGGAGAGGAGGAGGATGAAGATGAAGATGAAGTCGATGGTCTGGCCGATGATATGAACAGCACGTCACTCACGGATCAAGAAATGGTCGACGACCTTATGAACTCCTCCTCCGCCATCCCCAAATCCGACCCTGATAAGATCCGACCCCGTCTCGACTCAACCCTCAAACGTCTACGCATGATCGTTCTCCTCTACCAAGCCATCTCCAAGCGCCGCTTCAAGAAACTTCCCAAGGACACCACCACGGGCGACATTCCCTCCAAGCTGGACAAAGGAGCCAGTGTTCTTGAGACATTGCCGCATAAATTTGGGGATTTGGCTGGTGCTTTCTACGAGCTTGACGCAGAAGAGATCGATGCGCTCATGGAGGATTGCTTTGAGAGTGCGGTTGGTGTTAGTGAGGTTCTGAAGCTTGGGTGGGAGGGGGAGAGTGATGAGTTTAGTGAGTGGATGGAGAAGTTCAAGGTGGAAGTCAAGAAGACATAGAGCGAGTGAACTGAAGAATAAAACATTTGATACCAGTCGAGCGATTGAGCATTGTGATGTCCCTCGTGGCATAGATATTACATGCCCGTTATCTGTATATGCTACTACAAATGGTGCTCTTATACAAAGTACATTCCCCGACAACGCTTCTTCCGTCCGTCGTATGTTTAAAAGCCTATGCATCCCAAAATCCGCCTCTTCCCCGACAAAAATCCCGTCTACACGTGTCTCTGCTCTGTAGCCGGTCGACCCGTCGCCGTTGTAAATTCAGAATGTCCGAGTTGCTTAGCTTCATGTTCTGCTTCGTCCACAGGCGCGGGAGTTTCTGGTGTGATCATGACAGCCGGGGCAGCAAGGGAACTAGGGACGACTTCTGTCTTGGCAGCTGTCACACCCTCAACGTGCTCTGCCTCTGCGTCCTCCTTCTCATCCTCCTTCACTTGCGAGAGTGGCCGACCATGGGTATCGTGAGACTCTCCCTCCTCGTCGCGGCGCATCTGGCCGTTTTCGAGATCGGCGCCAACCATTTGAGCGAGACTACTAAAGTTGAACATGGGCTCGGATCCGGCGCTTCCACCATCACGTTCTCCGTCGTCGCTGTAAGCACCGAGGCTCAGCCCACTAGACCGAGGACCCAAGTCGCCGCCCAGGTAGTCGGGTCCTGTGTATGTACCAACAGGACTATCGTTGACTGAGGACCCAACTGAGGAGGCATTGCTCATCTGCCTAAGATGTGACCCCCCACGCGAAGGCCCAGCCGGTAGTGGCAGAGAACTCGATGATGATGTTGGTCCAGTCTGGTTATCAGACATGCCTCGATCTACTCCCTTGCCTTTTCCAGCAGGCCCATCGTCCTTGGCTTTCGGTTCTGCTGGCGAATCCGGGGTGCTCGAAGCTTGTGACGCCCTAGACATTGTAGCTTCTACCCGGAGATTGCTGGCGGTACTGTTGCCTCGTCTTCGACCCAATCCTGCGAGTGACAAGCTACTAGCACTCGCACCACTTGCACTTCCACTGTATGGGTTTCCACCCTTCTTGGCGGCTTTACGTTCCTCCTTCTCCCTTCTCTTAGTCTCCTTTCGAATAGCCTTTTCCTCCTTACGTTTGCGCTCTTCTTCAGAAGCTAGAGAAAGACGAACAGCCTCCATAAACATCATCTCCTCAAGTTCGTCCATGCGACTCCTTCGTCCTGTGCCGTTCCTTGAAGATCCTCTAGCTCCAGGTTCCGGTCCCTCGCTCGCGTCGTCCTGTGCACCGTCTGTTTGACCCTGGCCGCTGGGGCTGGGACTGGCATTTGAATCGTTGTTTCCAGTGTTCCTCCGGCCAAATCGACTTGGGCGAAGAATCGATCTCTGTTCGTTTCCGCCCATGAGAAATGCAGCCGTATGAAGGGCAGTGGCCGCTGCAGCTCTTCGTGCTTGGTGGTTTCTCGCTGATGCGAGTTTCGCCGCCCAATCGGGACGCACGCGATCGGTGGTGATAACATTCGGCGCGTTCGCAGACAAACTATGTGCGCGTCGACGGCCGGGTATGGGAGGGGTCTGTAGTGTGCTATTTAGTGAAGTCTGCGAAGACATGGCTG